TCTCGAACTCCTGACCTCGTAATCCACCCACCTTGGCCTCCCAAAGTGCTAGAATTACAGGCATGAGCCACCGCGCCCAGCCTCTTTTCCCGTCTTACTCCACACCTTCCTGCTAGATTTCATCTGTTCCTGTGGCTTTAAAACCCATTCCTTTGCTGGTGGGGTCACATTGTAAGTCTCACCTTTCTGAGATCCAACTGCTGGGACATTTCACAAGCAACTCAAACTTGCCGTCTTCAAAATGGAACTACTGATTTTTCTCCATAAACCTGTTTCTTCCCACCATCACCCCCTGTTCCCCCTGCCTTGTGGGTGGCACCTCCATCCACTCAGCTGTCCCAGGCCGTGGGGGGAATCCTCCTTGCTCTGCCCTTTTCTGTACACAGACTGCCCGTCCAGTGGCAAGTCCTCTCAGCCCTCCCTCCAGAATGCATCTGGAACTGGCTTATCCTCACCCCATTGCTACCCCACAGCCACTCTCTTCTCTTGCCTTCTGTGAGTCATCACGGTTCTCTATTAGAGGAAATTGGACAGTGCCGCTTCTGACACTGTTGACACTAGTCAGTCAACAGACACTTTGAAAATCCAGTTACAGGCACTGGGAAAACAACAGTAAACGCCTTCAGGAAGCTTGCATTCCAGTGTGGAAGAGAGGGGAAAAGCATGGAGCCACACGCAGGGGGATTCCGGCCCAGAGCAGGACTACGAAGAAGACAACGTAGCCAGGCACGGTGGCTCATACCTGTAACTCCAGGGCTTTGGGAGACAGAGGTGGAGGATCATTTGAGCTCAGGAGTTCAAAACCAGCCTGGGCAACATGGCAAGACCATATCTCTACTAAAAATTTAAAAATTTTAAAAAAGTAACCAGGGGCCGGGTGTGGAGGTTCATACCTGTAATCCCAGCACTTTGGGAGATTGAGATGGATCACTTGAGGTCAGGAGTTCGAGACCAGCCTGGCCAACATGGTGAAACCCTGTCTCTACTAAAAATACAAAAAGTTAGCTGAGTGTGGTGGTGCATGCCTGTAGTCCCAGCTACTTGGGAGGCTGAGGCAAAAGAATCGATTGAACTCTGGAGGTGGAGGTTGCAGTGAGCAGAGATCGCACCACTGCACTCCAGCCTGAGTGACAGATTGAGGACCCCGTCTCAAAAAAAAAATTAACCAGGTTTGTTGGCATGTGCCTATAGTCCTAGCTACTCAGAGGCTGATGTGGGAGGATCACTTGAGCCCAGTATTGCACCACTGCACTCCAGCCTGGGTGACAGGGTGAGACCCTGTCTCAAAAAAAGAAGACAACAGAGAGAAACAAGAACTCAATGGTGACAGGTGGCAGAGGCCTCGGCGATCTGCTCACTCATCACCTATTCCAACCTCTGACTAGCCTGTAAAGGTGGAAAACTAAAACCACACTTCCCACACTCCTCTTGGTTGGGGTTCTGGGCATGATTTGCATCTCACTGATCAGATATAGCACCCTGAGACCTTGATGTGGAGCTACATAAAGTGGGGAAAGGAAGGCAGGGCACAAGCACCCTCTGTCCTGCCAGCCCTAACCCTGACAGAGGCCATGCAGTGCCGGAGCCCGTGGCTGCAGTGGCCGCTTCCTCTCGCAGCAGAAGCAGCAGCAGCCAAGGGGTCCCATTTGTCACTGTGGCTTGGGAAGTCCTCTCTGGAACTCCAGCCACTCCCGAGGCTGGAAAAATCACATCTGCTACACACCCTTCCTTCACCTCCCGCCTTGGGCTCATGTCTGATCTTGATTCTGGACAGGGGCTCCATCAAAGGCTGAAACCAGCCACAGCTGAGGGAATGAGGACAAGACGCCAAGTGCAAACGGGCTGGGAGGAGGACTCACCTCATAGACGGGAGCATTGGGTCCTTCAAACTGGAGACCTGGAGGACACAGGGAAAAAGACAGAAAACAGCACATGAGAGGACACCGCAGCTCCCCGCTGCTCTTGCCAAACTCGTGGACTCCTGCACACCCTTGAGAGTTCCTTCAGGTGTCACCTCCCACCCAGAGTGTTTGCTGGCGCGTGCGCCTCTCTCCAGGGCTCTGTTAGGCGGTGTTCCATGGTCTTTCTCAAACCCCAGTGGTTCTAAAACCTCTGATGCCTGTCCTCAGCTTTGGAGGCTGTGAATTAACTCAGTTCCTTTTGGGAATCTGTTACTGAAGGGAAGGAAGCATGGATAAGTAATGAATCGTCTTGTATAAGGCACCTGGAGTAGCCAAATCCATAGAGACAGAAAGTAGAATGGCGTTTGCCAGGGGCTGGGGAGAGGGACAGTGGGGAGTTAAGTTAGATGGGTACAGAGTCCCAGTGGGGATGATGGGAAAGTTCTGGTGGTGACTGATGGTTGCACGACAATATGAATATCCTTAATGTCACTGAACAATACACTTTCAAATGGTTAAAAGTGTAAATTTTTTGTTTATATATAATATTAACATAATATGTAATATATATATATACTATATATATATATATATATATATTTTTTTTTTTTTTTTTTTTTTTTTAAATATTTTTTTTTTTTTTTTTTTTTTTTTTTTTTTTTTTTTTTAAATTTTTTTTTTTTTTTTTTTTTTTTTTTTTTTTTTTTTTTTTTTTTTTTTTTTTTTTGAAATGGAGTCTTGCTGTGTTGCTCAGGCTGGAATGCAATTGTGCCATCTCAACTCACTGCAACCTTCACCTCCCGGGTTCAAGTGATTCTCCTGCCTCAGCCTCCCAAGTAGCTGGGACTACAGGTGTGAGGCACCATACCTGGCTAATTTTTGTATTTTTAGTAGAGGTGGGGTTTCACCATGTTGGTCAGGCTCAAACTCCTGACTTCAGGTCATCCACTCCCCTCAGCCTCCCAAAGTGCTGGGATTACAGGCATGAGCTACTGCACTTGGCCATTTTTTTTTTGGAGACAGTCTCTGTCACCCAGGCTGGAGTGCAGTGGTACAATCTCAGCTCACTGTAAACTGCACCTCCCAGGTTCAAGCAATTCTCCTGCCTCAGCCTCCCCAGTACTGAGACCACAGGCACGCACCACCACACCTGTCTAAGTTTTGTATTTTTAGTAGAGACAGGGTTTCAGCATGTTGGCCAGGCTGGTCTCAAACTCCTGACCTCAAGTGATCCACCCACCTTGTCCTCCCAAAGTGCTGGGATTACAGGCATGAGCCACTGCACCCAGCCCGTTATGTAAATTTCACAATAAGAAATGAATCATCCAAAATGAAAAACAGTTTTTAAAATGGCTATTCAAGAACACTAGCAAGTTGCCCCAAATGTATTTACTTTAGAATCTATCTCTATTCTTACAGTAGGACTAATTCAAATTCAAATGCATCCTCTCGAAGTGGACTTGGATAACTTACTAAACTCTCACCTCTGCTTCTCTGTCCCCTTTGTCCCTTGCCTGGGACCCTGCCATTCCTTCTGTGTGGGGCGTACCATCTGCTGATATCCCACATCCCCCTCTGTCTGGGGCACTCGCTCTCATCGCACCTGTCTGAGGTGTGGTTTATGAAATTCAGTTATCTGTCGTGCTCATCAGTGCTGGACCTGGAGAGAGCTCCGCTGGGTCTGTGAGATATGTCAGATCTCCGGTTGTCACCACACCTAGACCTTACTTGGAGGTCTTTTCTGGGGCTTGTAGGTTTCGGGGGTCTGTTTGCCTCAAGATGCCAAGAGCCCCCAAGCAGAAAAAGACTTCACTGGACAGACCGACAGAATCCAACATCTCTGCACTGGGAGGGGACATCTGTGCCTGCAGGCTTCTCCTTCTGGTCACTCTGAAAATATTCCACTTTGCTCTGATGAGGGAAGTGCTGCTGAACTAGAGGGATGTGTAAAACTCCATCGTGGAGGGCAGTTTTAACCAAAATAAATATTCTTTTCAAAATGCACTTCCGGCCAGGCTTGGTGGCTCATGCCTGTAATCCTAGCACTTTGGGAGGCCAAGGCAGGTAGATTATCTGAGGGTAGGAGTTCGAGACCAGCTTGGCTAATGTGGTGAAACCCCATCTCTACTAAAAATATAAAAATTAGCCAGGGGTGGTACTGGGCACTTGTAATCCCAGCTACTTGGGAGGCTGAGGCAGGAGAATGGCCTGAACCCAGGAGGAGGAGGTTGCAGTGAGCTGAGATCATGCCATTGCACTCCAGCCTGGGTAACAGATCAAGTCTCTCTCTCAAAAAAAAAAAAAAAAAAAGCTCATGTTTTGCCTGCTCCCATGATGCTGGAGGACACTGAAAAGCCAAATATGTTCTAAGATTCTTTGAGGCGCACAGATTTCTATCCTGTCCTGTGTTATCTTGGAGCCCCAGGAGGTCCCCGCTACTATAGGAGATTCCCAGTTGTGGATACAATAAGACTAATATGAAATGAAATCACATCAAGCCAGGCATGGTGGCTCATGTCTGTAATCCCAGCACTTTGGGAGACCGAGGTGGGCAGATCACTTGAAGTCAGGATTTTGAGACCAGCCTGGCCAACATGGTGAAACCCCATCTCTACTAAAAATACACAAACTAGCCAGGTGTGCTGGCAGGCACCTGTAATCCCAGCTACTTGGGAGGCTGAGGCAGGAGAATCATTTGAACTGGGGAGGTAGAGTTGCTGTGACCCAAGATCTTGCCACTGCACTCTAGCCTGAGAGATTGAGCAAGACTCCGTCTCAAAAAAAAAGAAATCACATCAATTTCCTGGCTTGTGCTGAGTACACAGCAGGTACCAATGAATGCCTGCTCCATATTTTTATTTTTCTTTCTTTCTGTTTTTGAGACAGGGTCTTGCTTTGTTACTCAGGCTGAAGTACAGCAGCATAGCCTCTGCTCACTACAGCCTCGACCCCCCTAAGTTCAAGTGACCCTTCCGCCTCAAGTAGCTGGGACTACACGTGCCCACCATCACACCCAGCTGCCTATTTTTTGTAGATACGGGATTTTGCCATATTGCCCAGGCTGGTCTCAAAATCCTGAGCTCAAGCAATCCACCCGCCTCAGCCTCCCAAAATGCTGGGAATACAGGCTGGAATGAGCCACAGCACTTGTCCCCCTCCCCTGCTTTTTTTTTAGGAGACAGCAGGGTTTTGTTCTGTCACCCAGGCTGGAGTGTACTGGCAAGACGATAGGTCACTGCAGCCTTGAACTCCTGCCTTGGCCTCCCAAAGTGCTGGGATTACAGGCATGAGCCACTGCACCCCACCTCTCCCTCCTTTTGCCTAAGAAGAGTGAGAATGCTCTCTAGGGCCTCTCAGGATGTGGATGTACTTACCTGGGATGGGAACTGTGTGCAGGGGCATTACCTCCACTCCGTGGACTGGGTACCCAAAGGGGAGGTTGGGCTGGGCCAGCAGGGGCAGTGGGCGGGGCAGCCCTTCTCTGCAGGAGAACAGAAACATCAGCAGTTGCCCTGATGCTGGTCCCTGGTTAGTTCTCACAGTGGTGCCTGTGCACAGAGCCTTGCCCTGACAATACGGAGAAATCAAAAGTGGCTTGTCCCTGTCTCCCTCCATTCTCACCCACAGCCCTTATTTCCTCCCCTCTCCTGACCTCCCTCCACAAAGGTACTGAGGTGGTTTATAACAAAGCATTTTGTTTTTGAGACAGGGTTTCACTTTGTCGCCCAGGCTGGAGTACAGTGGCACGATCACGGCTCGCAGCAGTCTTGACGTCCCTCACTCACGCAGTCCTCCCATCTCAGCCTTCCCATAGCTGGGACTACAGGTACATGCCACAAAGCCCGGCTAATTTCTACAATTTTTTGTAGCGATAGGGTCTCACTATGTCGCCCAGGCTGGTCTCCAAGCAATCCTCCTGCCTCAGCCTTCAGAGAAGCCAGGACCATCGGAGAGAGCCACCATACCTGGCTAACAAAGCACATTTTGGAAAAAACCATGACCAGCATAAAAGGAAAAATAAAATTATCAGACTGTAGGGGCCCATCCAGCTGCAGCAGCTAAACACCAACGTCACATCTGAACTTCGAGGAAACCGGGATAACAAGAGATTGACAACCATTACGTGGCCCTTACTATCCAAAGAAGAAGTAGACCAATTCCTGAAGGGAAGTGGAGCTTCTCCTACCACTGAAATAAAAAAAACTAAGTCACAACAAAGTTTACCTGTGAGTATTGTTGTCACAATATTTTGAGAGCAAACAGAGGAACTATTCTCATGGGGTTTTTTTGTTGTTATTAATAACAATCTTTAGTCAAAAGCAAGCACATAGCACAATCCAGCAAGATTCGTTTTCTGAGGGACTAAGGTACAATGGTTGAAATGTTAGCCTTCAGAACCCAGTTTCACCAAGAGATCATTTAATTGCCAGGAAAAAAAGATTAGACCATCATGGTGAATACTGAGGGGAATATGAAAACGACAAAAGTTTTAAACGGTAAAGAACATAAAAAGGCAATTAACGGAAGAGGAAATACAAATGGCAATGAACATACGAAACGTGCTCAGCTTCGATCAGGGAAATGTGAATTTAAAAAGCCATGGAATACCTTTACATTAAAGTTTGAAAATTTGATGATAGCAAGTGTTAGGTGTATGTAAGGTGCGACTCTTACCCACTCTTCATGAAAGTGAGTTCACACAAGCCCACTTGAGGGAAATTTGTCAGTATCTATCAAAAATAAAAAAGACATACTCTGGGATCTAGCAAGTAAGATACTAGGTGAAAGGAGAAATGCTTGCATGTGTAAACAATAAGACAAGCATAAGGACGTTCATTTCAGCATTGTTTGAAATGAACATTCTTCTACATGTATTTTTTTTCCTGAGACAGAGTCTCACTCTGTCACCGAGGCTGGAGTGCAGTGGCATGATCTTGGCACACTGCAACCTCCACTTCCCAGTTCAAGTGATTCTCCTGCCTCAGCCTCCTGAGTAGCTGGGATTATTATAGGCATGCACCACCATGCCCGGCTAATTTTTTTATTTTTTGTAGAGATGGGGTTTTGCCATATTGTCCAGGCTGGTCTCGAACTCCTGGTCTCAAGTGATCTGCCTGCCTCAGCCTCCCAAAGTGTCGGGATTACAGGCGTGAGCCACCATGCCCAGTCCTTACACGTCTTAATGAAAAAGGAAAGAATGTAAATATAATGTAATATTATTGTAAATAATGTAAATGTAAAAAGGAAGGTTTTCCAACAATCTAAATACCTTTCAGTAGGGAAATGGCTTAGTAAAATGCAGTATGTTCATATTCATAGTTATATTGCAATTAAGAAGGATTAACTAGATATATACAAAGCTCTTTTTTTTTTTTTTT